GCAGACCAAGAACCCAGGGTGTTACGTGTGGTAGACGACGACTACTGCGTGCCACCACTGTCATGTAGTCTTGTTTCCGTGTGTTGCGCCGTGCACTGTAATGAAGACGCCATAGCGGAACGCATCACTGACCTTCTTTTTTACCAAGGCATCGCCATCGCTCGCGGTATCGTCAGCTTAGTGGATGGGCGCGCAGACGTGCTTCTGACCAACTTCACGAATGAGCGCCGGCACATCGGTAAAGGCACGGCTGTGGCGTACCTCGAAGAGCTCGACTACTCTCACGACTGTCTTCTAATGCAAGGGGAAGCCACAGCTCAATCACCTCCACATACACCACCAGTTGATATCGGTCCGAGTCTAACACCTACTGAAAGATGCCGTCTTATGGAGCTGCTCGACCAGTTCAAGGAGTGCTTCTCATCGACATCACGAGTAGGTCGAACGCCTCTGACTAAGCATCGCATAATTACGGAAGACACAGCAAGACCGATCCGACAGAACCCATATCGCGTCGCTCAGAAAGAACGTGAGGTATTCCAGTAGCAAGTCAAGAAGATGCTGGAGGATGACGTTATTCAACCATCAAAGAGTCCTTGGGCATCGCCAGTGGTACTCGTGAAAAAAAAAAAGACGGCAGCTTGCGTTTCTGCGTCGATTATCGTAAGCTGAACCATGTTACAAAAAAGATGTTTATCCATTACCACGGATCGATGACTCTTTGGACAGGCTACGGCATGCGCGCTACTTCTCGTCAATGGACCTTAAAAGTGGATACTGGCAAATAGAAGTAGATGAGCGCGACCGAGAAAAGACCGCCTTCGTGACGCCAGACGGGCTTTATTAATTCAAAGTCCTTCCTTTTGGTCTATGCTCAGCCCCAGCCACGTTTCAGAGACTAATGGATACCATTCTGTCCGGCCCGAAATGGAAAACATGCCTTGTGTACCTCGACGACGTGATCGTTTTTTCGGCCACGTTTGAAGAGCATCTAAAGCGGCTACTGTCAGTCCTTCAAGCCATACGGTCCGCTGGACTCACACTCAAACCGGAAAAATGCCACTTCGGCTTCGAAGAACTCCAGTTCCTGGGACACGTGATCAGTCGCGAAGGTGTGAAGCCTGACCCAGATAAAACAGCAGCCGTCGCAAAGTTCGTAAGGCCTGTTGATAAGAAAGCGGTCAGGCGTTTTCTGGGTCTCTGCGCCTACTACCGGCGATTCATAGCAGGCTTCGCACACATCGCCTCTCCACTCACCCGCCTTACAAGGGAAGACATCGCATTTGTATGGGGTGAAGAGCAAGAAGCTTCATTCAACGAGCTGCGACAGCGTCTACAAACTCCACCTGTCCTCGCTCACTTCGACGAGAATGCACCAACAGCCATCCATACAGACGCCAGCAATGCGGGCCTAGGTGCTGTTCTTGTCCAATGCCAAGATGGTGTGGATAGAGTGGTTGCCTACGCTAGCAGAACGTTGACAAGCGCCGAGTCCAACTACTCAACAACGGAGAAGGAGTGTCTGGCCGTCGTTTGGGCAGTTGCGAAGTTCCGCCCGTACTTATATGGCCGCGCTTTCCAAGTCGTAAGCGACCATCACTCTCTTTGTTGGTTGACCAACATGAAAGACCCATCTGGACGTTTAGCACGATGGAGCTTACGGCTCCAAGAGTACGACATGGCCGTAGTTTACAAGTCCGGAAGGCAACACTTAGACGCCGACTTTTTGTCAAGGTCACCGATTGAAACACCGGCCATAGAGGATGATGATTTCTCAGGTTTTTTAGGAGTTGTTGATGCAGCTATCATTTCTCGGCGACAACAAGATGATCGGGAGCTCAACTCGCTTATAGAATTCTTGAATGGACGAGCCGCCAATGCACCAAGAGTGTTTTCGAAGAACTTATCGTCATTCTGTTTACGGGACGGAATTCTGTACAAAAAGAACTTTTCATCAACAGGTAGAAGCTATCTGCTGGTAGTTCCTGGAGCTCTCCGCAGCCAAATTTTACAAGCCCCCCACGACGAAGCCACTGCGGGCCACCCGGTTTCACAAGAACACTGACACGCATCAAAGAAAAATATTACTGGCCAAGAATCGCAGCAGAGGTAAACATTACGTCCGAACATGCATTGACTGTCAGCGGCGCAAGGTACCACCTGCCAAACCCGCTGGGCTATTACATCCTGTGCCCATGCCAGAAACCCCGTTTTCTCAAATCGGAATGGATCTGCTGGGCCTATTCCCAACATCGGACAGCGGCAACAAATGGGTTATAGTGGCGACGGACTACCTCACCCGATACGCGGAGACCAAGGCAATCGCGAGTGGCACTGCAGCTGAAGCGGCCCAGTTCTTCATTGAGAACATTGTTCTGAGACATGGTGCTCCAGCTGTCGTCATAACAGACAAAGGTACCGCGTTTACAGCCGAGCTTTTGCGCACTGTGCTTACGCTCAGTGGTACAGCGCATAGGAAGACGACAGCTTACCACCCACAAACGAATGGGCTTACAGAAAGACTTAACAAGACAATCACTGACATGCTTTGCATGTACGTCGACGTAGAACACAAGATTTGGGACCGAATATTGCCGTACATCACATTCGCGTATAATACGGCGCGCCAGGAAACAACAAAAATGACGCCGTTCGCACTAATTCATGGCAGAGAAGTTACGACAATGCTTGACGCCACGCTGCCTTACGATTGCAATGACTCAGGGACAGACGCCGCAGACTTCACTGAACGCGCCGAAGAAGCAAGGCATCTTGCCCGCGTCAGAATGAACCACCAGCAACTTGACGCCCAACGGTACAACCTTCGCCAACGATTCGTCATTTATCAACCAGGAGATAGAGTCTGGGTTTGGTTTCCTGTACGACGACGATGCCTCGCAGAGAAACTTCTACGCCGATACTTCGGACCCTACAAGGTTCTGCGCCGTTTTAGCGACGTGACGTACGAAGTCGTGCCCGACGCCTCCTCCTGTTCCAAACATCGCCAGCATCTGCCTGAGACAGTGCACGTGGTCCGCATGAAACTTCACCGCTCTCAGTGATGTAAACACTCGATGGCCGCATCTCTACCTGTTGAGCGTCGAGACGACGCTCACTCTGGCAAGAGGGTAATGCCGCGTGCATAGCTGCATTTAGCGGCGAGATAGCGACGACAACGAAGAGCGCGGATTTGCTCGAGAGGCGCAGCGCAGCAGAGTGAAGAAGACGACAATCTTAGCGGCCTTCTCTGAGAGCGTCTCTACAAGTCCCACTGTCCGTGTTTTTAAATAAACCCCCTGTAATTTATAACCTCCGACAATATATACTTCATCGACGCCCTGATTCCGCGGTGTTTGCATGACTGCTGATATTTCTACAGTACAGATACAATGACACTATACAGGTACAATAACACTATTTAATTACTTTAAGGCTCAACAAAAAGTGTTTAACAAAGAGCAGCGATACAACATATCTGAAAGACTTGAAAAACATGAGTGCGTTAGCCTGACGAAAGGAAGGCGATTAGCCTCGCCGTGTCCGAAATACCGTTGACTCTATAGTCGGCTTGGCACGTCTTCGTGAATGACGTGACGCACGGCACTGACTCATACACCATCGCTTGAAATGCTAAACTGCGCTTGATGCATTGCAATGTGATGATGTCACGGGATATGGTTTGTTTGATAGGCGCAGCAAAGTAACATACTTCGCTTTGACGATTGTACTCGTGTTCTCACGTACGCAGCTTCAGATCTGTACAGGAGTCTTACCGTCTTATAACGGCCGTACTTTTGTTTCTTTGTAAAAAAAAATGTTAGAATGACCTGAGTTTCGAAGTTACTGGTGATCTTCGGTAAAGATGATTCTGTTCGGTACCAGCTTGTCTTGCTTTTCGTGTGTCTATTTGTCATGTCTCAGTTAAACAACATCGACGACAACATTTTTTTAATTCTTTTTTATTTTTCTTGACCGTGTGTGTGCCTGTCTTGAATATTTATCTCACGATATCGGGATATTTAGCTACAGCTTAGTCTACCTTCTTATACTTTTCATGCAACAACAACAGTGACAACAACAACGACAACGATAACAACTGTATTTCGGCACCCATTTTCGCAGCACTTATCTCGAACTTTTTGTCGTCCGCTTTCCAAGTCGATGTGCGTGCCTTGCGAACTCGCCAGCTGCTGTTAGCAACACCACCGCATGTTGCGCAATGCAAGCAAATGAAAGCAGCTAAAATGTAATTAGGTTGATTATTCGGTTGATATTTTAGTGCGAAAAGGAGAGGTAATTCTTTTTCAGTCCTCCATCTCAGAAAACACGACAGACCCTTTACTTAATTAAAGCTGGCTTTCCAGCCACGCAGTTTGCCCAACTTATGATTGAGGCTAGTCACTTACCGTAAACAGCGTGTCGAGCTGCTTCGCTTCCTCTCTCACGAGTCAAACGCATGCTCGACCCTCTTAGATGCAAACATTCTGAAAACACAGGCCCCAGTACGTGCAACTAAGACTTTGTGTCCTCTTGAAGGTGGGCAGGTGGCGCCATCAGTTGGGCTAGTATGCAGTACAGGAAAGCGCACTCGCGGATTACGAAAGGGCTCAATTGCGCAACATGCCACGCTGCGAATCTTGAATATTTTGTTCACTATAGTGAAATCGTCCCTGCCTTGTTCTAGTATTGTCTGAAACGTTCCACTGTTTTGTCAATTAAAAACATGCCGAATAGTATAGCCATTTTATGTGATATCCTGCAAATACTTCATTTGATTAAGCCACTGTACACGGCGAAACCTGTAGCGCATGAAGAAGTACATGGACGAAGCGCATCTCTCTGTCTTCACTTTTTTTTCGTCCGTGTCCTTTCTTGTGCGCTGCAGGTTTCCCTGTGTGTCACGGCCAACAAGCCCATTCATTACATCCTTTCTACCATTCCCACTTCCCGCCCCTCCCCAAATTTATGAAACGTTAACGGATTTCGCCTGTTATTTCCAGTACCTGCGGCTTCGCTTCGGAAACAAAGTGGGAGTGACTGCCTGTGCCTGCTACTTCGTATTGAACGTGAGTTTTCTTTCTTGTGGTGTGTGCGAAGCGCTTTCTGCTAGTTAATAAACTACGCAGAAAAGCTAATAGCTTAAAGAAGCTGGCCCGCTGGATGGCTATAGGAGCCATTTGTTGTTCTCGGGCATCATACGCGTGTCATAGCTTTTGTTTTACGGTGTGGACGTAAAAGCTTACGGATGGGGGGGGGGGGGGGGAAGGGACATGCTCAGTTGACGACCTCCCGCACTGAGCGAGGTGCTTGTACCGGGGTCATGTATTGAAAGTAGGAGGCTTGCAGAGAACGATGCCCGTTGTGATTTCTTTTCATTGACACGAGCCTATTTGACTTGACATTTATGACTGACATTATACTGCGTATCTCCGTTATATCGTCTTTATTTTTTTCAACGGACCAACCCCATTGTCTCCTCGTTTTTGAGTAGATGAGAAATACTCGCCTAGACTATATCCGTTGTGACTCGTGAGTGACCTCAACCCCCTTCCATACGTTTTCGACCCCGCGCACAGGTGCATTGTTTCTACGCATTCTAGCAAATCGGGCATGTGCCTGGTTAACCTCCCTGCCTTCTCTCTTGTTGTTCGTACCCCCCCCCCCCCATGTCACTTGTGCGAATATTGCTTTGATTATTTTTATGTTATGTTTCCTGGTTGTTTGACCCTGAACAGAGATGACTGATCGGTTTTGAAGCTGCACGCCTCTTCATCTGAGCAAACGAATAAAGAAAGGCCATTCAGCAGACGCTAAAGTACACAGGGTTGCTAATGCCAGTATATTATATCTGCCAAAAGTTTTTTGTTACGTTTGCGCAAGATGGTTGATTACCACGCAAATAAGGGACAGATGAAAACAAAATGACTTGTGTAAAAAGCAATTTAACGGTAAAGGTGCAAACCAATTAATAAAAGTAAAATGGCGGATTCTGCGCGGTGTAAATTGGTTTGAAGCAAAATTTTCTTCTCTGCCCCCTCCCCCCCCCCGCACTTTCTTCTGCTTATCGTCGCTGAGCATTTCTTGCCGTGGTTACATTTTGTTCCCTTGGTCTTTTGATTGATTGATTGATTGATTGATTGATATATGGGGTTTAACGTCCCAAAACCACCATATGATTATGAGAGACGCCGTAGTGGAGGGCTCCGGAAATTTCGACCACCTGGGGTTCTTCAACGTGCACCCAAATTTGAGCACACGGGCCTACAACAATTCCCTTGGTCTTTTGACGGTGTTCGTGGTCGTGGCTTGCCACGGCGTTCCAGAGCACTCTTATGTGAGCCAAGAGTTACTCTGTGTTGATATGTAACTCTGTGTTAGTGAGCGAGCACTTATACCATCGAGGACGTGTGGACAGTCCTTTGTATATTGTAGCTTTTGTGAAACGCTTGTACAAATTATATCAATCGCCTTTGTTACTTTACGTGGTTTGCTGATTAAGGAATATAAATTACTTGAAGTGCGTGACCATTGACGGTTTCCTCAGTCCGACGAGTGGTGTTTGTCGACGCGACGAGGCCCATTGAGGTCTGCTGACACTTACATATAGGCAGCCGTTTATAGGTGATCCCCCCCACCCTGTGTTCTTGCTTATTTGTCTCAATTTTCTTACTTCTATCTCCTATCGTCTTTCGTATTTCTCTCCTCCCATGTCCCTTCTCTCTATTTCTTCAGTCATCCGGAAAAAGTGGGCCAGCCTAGTGCCCCTCTAGGTAGCAGTTGTCAGCCTGAGCTCTCCCTCTGCGTCGTTGTCTGTTTTTACACACAAATCAATCAAACAAACAAATGACGAAATTTGATTGTTACCCAGTTTGTAACAAATAGCGATATACTAAAAAGATCGGTTAAGTTCTGTGAGGACATTTCAACGGCATGAATAATTGTGTTTTGTCATAGCTTGTGTCACGTGGAAAGGGCTTTGTTTTGAGGAACTTGGACAGAGTGTGTGGGTGTTGTACTAAAAACTGGGTATTTCGGAAAATCGAATGGTTGGAAGTGTTCTGTTGTCCCTGCCAGCGTGTGTTTTGCTTAACGGCACCAAATTCTCGTTCATGCGGTCACATTCGGCCGCAACCCGGTCAATTCGAACGATCCTTAGAGCGTGTTGAGCGCGAAGCACCAAAAATGGACGACGCAACGAAAAAGCGAAAACAATGGTGGCGGACACCCGAAACGGCAGCTGACTTTCAGAAGTGCACTTAACCTACCAACGATCACGCTGTTGATGCATAATAAGTTAAGGGCCCAGCGCCCATTGCGGGTCAAGACACGGGTGTCTTGCCGCGTTGCACATTGGGAACAGAGACGTCGGTGACGAAAACCGAGGTATTTGCGCTGTTTTTAGGAAAAGTAATCACTTAATTTACATATTCCTGAAAAAAAGTGAAGGTGCATTGTTGTAATATACATTTATTCAGCGTTTTTCTGATGCTTTCTATATTTGTAGAATTTGGTTATTTTGGACAGATTTTTTTTTGTGGTCTCGTGTATCTCTAATTAACGAGCTTTAACTGTATGTGCCTTTGATGATCATCTATATGTCTTGATAATACGCTGAAGAATGTGATTCGTCATTCTTCCGCGTGTGTTTTCTTGCTTGCTCGTTCCCTTCAAATTAGGGCTACAAACGTGTTAAAAACAAATCTTCGCTGACGTCACTTCTACTATTTTCCGCTGAAAGCACTTTATGAAGGCAGCTGAGGGCTGGTTTGAAATGTCTACCTGTCTAACTATAGACTATGTTTTTCTCTAGGTTGTATATGCACCTACACGCCATTTCATTGAATGCCAAAGCTTGCTTTCCATTGTCCATAGCGTGCGTTGATTATAATATTCATGCGAGTGACACGACGAGAAATCACGTGCGTTTGTTGTTCAGTTCTGAGTGGTCTTTAGAAAAAAATCTGGCAGATGACGAAGCAGTATTCCATGCTGGGCAGCTACTTCGCAGTAAGTCGAAAGTTTAAGAACAGATCATGTGATGATTCTCTATCAATGATATTCATTATTCAATTCAGTTGATGACAGCAGGGCCTCTATATTTGGTATTTCCATAGAGGTGTCTGGGTCCTCCCACGTACAGACTACAGATTACACGTCGAATTTTATGAGTCGGTTCTTGTGGCCACAATTTTTTCTTTTTCCAAGTCTTCACTCCATTCATAGGAGTGTCTATAAATACGATGACTGATGCAGTGTTCTCACGCTAATAGCATGTTCGTGTTGATCACCTGAATGAAGGCACGTTTAGAACAATCGCTGCGTTTGTCCATGATCGGTGTACTAAGTACTGAAAGCCATGCCCCCCCAGACACACGCCCCGCAGTGTTCGTGAGCCTGAGCAGGACATCCGGTATAGAGTGCATGACCATCCTGCGTCGCTTAGGTGAGCGGAGTGATCCTATCGGGCTGATCAGGTTAATGGTAGTCTTTACGAAGCTGTTATGAGATAAGTTTTAAAAATAAGTATGTAACGAAACATCCAGTAAAACACGTTCTTGGCCTGTGTTACACATGCTTGAAATGTCACGCATAAAAACAAATGACACGTATGTACACGAGCCGACAAGTTCAATTTGCTTTTTATTTATTGGTTCCGCTTATGAATAAAGCAGTGTGAGTTAGAGCTCTCCCCTTCGGCCTCACTTGTGAACGTGCCACTTTTTTTTTTTTTGTTCTCGCACGACCTTTTATATTTCAAGTAACGAAGCACGTTCTCTGTTTGAACACTGTCTGGACTTTCCGACATGGCCCAACGTTCAACTTTTTTTGCTCACTTATCGCTCATTTCGGGACACGCAAGTCACGGTAGAAGTCATAACGCACGGGAGCCGAAAACTTGTAGAACGCTAGAGGTTCGCCTTCAAGCTAATAGAACGTGAAACCACAATCGGGCAGCATGTGCACCGCCAGCTCAATTGCTAACCTTGCTTCAGTTCTCGATGCAAGCCCCAACTGTGCTGCAAGGAAGCGATTAATTGTGCGCGTAACATCGTTACAAACTATCATAGAATACCTACTGCAAGTTAAGCTGTTAAGCACATGATAATGCTCAGCTTTGCGAACCGACGAAGGCCTCACTGTACGCGTCCGTAAGACAACATGCGAACACACGCAGATGCTCACTTTGTTGCAGCTTTCACAGCTGATGACGAGAAAATGTTTGAATGCTTTGTAATGGGGGGCGCCTTTAAATGTAAATATGTAACTTCATTGCTCACTGACGCCTGGCGTGATTGTGCGCTTCTGGCACGCAGCATTGCATGCACTGGGGAGACTCCCGGCGCTACATTACCTTACTGTAATATTTTTTTTCCCGTGGAAGTTTCAAGCAATATCGTTGTTCTGCAATAAAATACCCGCTGGATACGCAGACGGCCTGGATTCGATTCTCACTCGAACCGATGAGTTTTATTATTTACCTTATTTAAATATTTCCCTCTTTTTTTGGTGACGGACAAAACGACGATTTTTCGCACACACCCAACGACGCCGACACCAACGCCTGAATTTCTGCGAAGCTCTTAAATGTTACGGCATTAAAAATAATTCGGTCGGCACCACCGTTATGCATAAAGATCGGTGGTCGGTGCGCAGCTACTAAAAGAGATCATCAATATAATGATGGCCGTTCTCTTCATACATATCGGTTTTAAAGCACTGGTGTGACCGATCACCTAGTATGTTACAATCTTGCATCTACCTTCATCTAATAGTGTCTCTCACGCCGGGTAATTTTCTCCCTCTCTCTCCTTTCTTTGTTCATACTACAAGCTCCTGTTTTTATGCTGCGGATAACTCATGCCTCAATCAATTAATTTGATGCTTGCCTATTTCTCCAAAGACATGTAAACTTATCTTGCTCATCAGTCAATGTACATCCATCCATTTTCAAATGTTTCGATGCGAGCTGGCCCGCAAAGGTGTGGATGGCATACGCGGGCGTGGCAGGAACCTTTCTCCCGGCTGCGGCGGTCACATTTTGATGGAGGTGATGCGGTGGAGGCCC